GAAGAGTTGACTCATTGGAAAAGATCCTGATGCTGGGAGGGATTGGGGGCAGGAGGAGAAGGGGACGACAGAGGATGAGATGGCTGGATGGCATCACCGACTCGATGGGCATGGGTTTGGGTAGTCTCTGGGAGTTGGTGATGGACAAGGAGGCCTGGTGTGCTGCGATTCATGGGGTAGCAGAGTTGGACACAACTGAGCGACTGAACTGAACTGAAGTTATTCAACATGAAATTTGGCCAGATGACATGTTTGTCTCTTGAAGAGATATTTGTGTCCCAGTTTTCATTGCAGTGTTATTTACAATAGCCATGGCATGGAAACAATCTAAGTGCTCACTGGATGAGTGAATGGATAAAGAAAATGTGAGATGTATATGTATCCCATGGAAATGTAAGCTTCCATATATTCCATATATGTACATACATACACACACATACAATGGGATGTTATTCAGCCATTAAAAAAAAACCCTGCCTTTTATGACAACATGAATGGATCTTGAGGGCATTATGCTAAGTGAAATAAATCAGAGAAAGGCAAATACTGCATGTTTTCACTTATATTCAGAATCTAAAGATGCTGAGCTCATAGAAGGAGAGAGTAGAATGATGGCTGCCAGGGTGGGGTGGAGGGCCGGGGAAATGGGGAGATGTTGGTTAAATGGTACAAATTCTCAGCCATAAGATGAATATGCTCTGAGGAGCCAATGTATAACTTGGCGACTATAATTAACAGTACCATATACTTGAAAGTCGTTAAGAGAGTAGATCTTAAATGTTATCACCACACACACAAACAGTAATTATGTGAGGGAATAGAAGTCTATCAAATCACCTCATTGTACATCTTAAACCTTCATATGTTATAGGTCAGTAATAGCTCAGTAAACCTGAGGAGGGGAAAGGCATGTTTGTCAAAACTAAAATATCCTGAGTTGGAAATGTTTTCTCTCTGATATGGATGGTAGGTATAGGTTTATAAATTCTTCAAGTTGCAGTCTTAAGATTTGTGTATATCATGTATATTATATCTCAACAAAAAATAATAACAATAGAAAAATTTAAAAACCACTGAAGTGTTGCCAATTTTGGTCTACATTGGGATAATTTTGCAATGAATATGTGCATTTTCAAGCATTTAAAAGTAACTTTTTAGAACTTTTAGTGTTTTTCTTTAATATTCCTTTTAAAATTATTTTTTAGCCAATTAGTTGAAATAACCTAAATAGCCAACAGTGGAAAATTTATTATAATAACTATTTGTCCCCCCAAATTGCAAACAGCTTAGTAGAGCAGTAATTGTACCATCCTCCACACTGCCCCCACCCCAAGTTTTTGAAACAAAAGAAAGGAGGAGAAAACAAAATTTCTGGGAAAGGTGGATGAAAATACGTGTTGCAGAACCACCTTTTTGATGTTTCAAGATTTCCAACAATTTAAATACGTAGAATTTGGAGATAGTGTGACTAAATCATTATTTCAAACAACTTGTCATGTTTACCAACACAATGCAGTATCACACCTTTTGGCCAATTTTCTCAGCCACGCCATCCCCTCCTGCCCAGTTTTCATCTTGATGTCTATAGCTTTGGGTTCAAATTCAGACTGAAGTCTAGTGGTGAGTTTAAATAACTGATGATGCAAAGGGAACAAAAATAGAATTTACAGCAAAATCCTTACCTTTAGCTGTGGTTGTCAAGGTTCAAGCACCAGAAGAGGAAGAGGCATTCCCTTCCGAGAGAGAGCTCCTGAAAAACAGACAAATTTGATGCCACTAAATTGTAGCATTAAATCTCTAAAGTCAAAGAATTGTACATAAATTAAGCCTGAATTTCTTTTCCCCAGCATACCCAGCCAATCTCATCATCTTGGATGGATTTACAAATGGGATCAAGTGCTTCTTAATGTTACTATTATGTATATATTGAGCCTGATAATCATTAGAGATAATCATTGAGCCCAAACTCTTTCATTGGAACAGGACAGCTGGGAAGTGGTAGAAGGCCTGAGGGGAGAGATGAATTACACCCAAGAACCACCAATACAGAAAGGATTTTTGCTGAAAAAGAGAAAATGGCCTTTGAAAGGCTGGCATAAGGTAAGAACTGGCTTGGGACTCACCTTTGTTTGCACCCGCATTCCCTATTCAGGCCCTGTTCTTAGGCACTTATGTTTAATTTGAGACTGAGCCAAGGACACCAAGAGAAGGACATTTAAATAGATATTATTTTAATGAATTCTACTTTGTTCCCCACAGAGATTCTTCTATCTGGACAAAGGAATCTTGAAATATGCCAAGAACCAAACTGACGTAAGTGGTCTTGTTAATCTAGCATGCTATTGAAGAATTCTCCAGGGCTATTCATTTTGTATGAAAGGAGAGAAGGTTAGCACTCCCCTTGATGAGGATGGCAGAGGCTCTTGGGCCTGACAACATGCATATGGTTAAGGCATTGCCACCTACTTCATGGCATCTAACCACTGGTGTCACAAAGAGTCGGATACGACTGGGCAACTGAACAATGTATCCGACAACAATATAGTGGCTCAATCGGTAAAGAATCTGCCCGCAGTGCCGTAGACCCAGGTTTGACCCCTAGGTCAGGAAGATCCCCTGGAGTAGGAAGTGGCAATTCCTTCCAGTATTTTGCCTGGGGAATCCTCATGGACAGGAAGCCTGGCGGGCTACAGTCCACGGGCCCGCAGAGAGTCAGACACACCTGAGCAGCTGAGCGCACACACGGTGGTTGTCAGCTCGTGTGAGACTCTACATTTGGGATTGCGTTTCCCTAGCTGGAAACCACGAGGGTGGTGGTGGTTCTCTCTCGGGGAGCAGAGGTGCCTGTTCCCTTCTGTCTCCTCTCTAGGTTCTGCATGGGCTCAGTTCACCCCCCAAGTGGAGGTGTGAGGGCCCCTCTCTACTGGATATCCAGCTGTGGGTTCTGGTCTTAGGGTTGTACCATGGGGTTCTCTGAGTGGGGAGAGAACAAAACCCAGGACATGTCCTCCCACTATTGTGGGGACTGAGTGGTTTAGTGGGGAAGGCCCTTGGTGAAGGTGACAGGAGAGTCCCCTGTGTGTGGACACCAGGCAAATGGCCCACCAGGGCTCAGGATAACTGCTAGTCCTACCTTCACGGAGCCCTTCTCTCACCCAGCACTTCATCTCCCGCCTTCCTCTCCCGTGGTGCTCGCCCTGTAGGGGTGCCTGCAGAAACGTGCCATACTGCCTGACCCACAGTGGCCTGTCTTAGCTTCCTTACTCCTCTTTTTATTTTTATGTTTTATTCAGCTTTAAAAATTTTTTGTTTAATTTTTATTGGAGTATAGTTGATTTATAATGTTGTGTTTCTGCTGTATAACACAGCAGAATTAGTTATACATGAATTAGTTATACATACACCCACACTTTTTTAGATTCTATTCCCAGATAGGTCCTTATAGAGTATTGAGTTCCCTGTGCTATATACAGTAGGTTCTTTCTAGTTATCTATTTTATATATAGTAGTGTATATGTACAGTAGTGTTGGGACTGACATATGAACAATATGTCAGTCCCAACCTCCCAATTCCCCATCCCCCCACACTTCCCCCTGGTAACCATATTACTCAGCCATAAAAAAGAAAGGAATAATGTCATTTGCAGCAAATGGATGGACTTAGAGATTTTCATACAGAGTGAGTAAGTCAGATAGACAAAGACAAATATCATGATCATATGATATTGCTTATATGTGGAATCTAAAAAATGAGTACAAATGAAACTATATACAAAACAGAAATANTCATACAGAGTGAGTAAGTCAGATAGACAAAGACAAATATCATGATCATATGATATTGCTTATATGTGGAATCTAAAAAATGAGTACAAATGAAACTATATACAAAACAGAAATAGAGGCACAGAGGTAGAAAACAAAGTTACTCCTCTTTTTAAATCACTTCCAAATGAACTTAGACCCCAGAAATCCTGCAGGAAGCAGTGCCATTAACAGGTGAATTCACTGCTGTGGGAGTCAATCCACAGGGCTAGCTTTTGACTTTCCTTACCTTCTGCTTGTCAGTTAACCCTCTGCAATTCGGTCTCCCCTTTCGAGTAAATAGGATGACGCATGTACAGCGCTCGGCTCAGCACTGGTTCTCATTGAGTACTGGAGAGGCGTGGCTGTTGTGTTAACTGTTATTGGATGTGGAAGGGGAGGGAGAGGGAAAGGCGTGTCAAGGGTGTTCCGGTGGTTTTTAACACCGTGGTTCTCATGGGGGCCCCCTTCGTGCCTCTGCAGATCGAGAGAGAAAAGCTGCATGGCTGCATTGACGTCGGGCTCTCGGTGATGTCTGTGAAGAAGTCATCCAAGTGCATAGACCTGGACACCGAGGAGCACATTTACCATCTGAAGGTGAGACTGCTGCCCAGGTGCTGTCTCCCTTTGCACAGATCCTTTATGTTACAAAGGAATTGTCAGTTACAGCACCATTGGTGATGCCTTTTGAATTTCAGAACATCCAGCCAACGTGTAGAAGATCTCCATTAGGAAAGTATTTCTAAGGATGATGTTGCTATCTGGATGGGACAGTTCTTCACTGTGTAGGAGAGTTTCTCACACTGGGACTCAATAAAATAAACTCAACATCCTTGTATCTTCTCCCTCATATCCCTCCTCCATTGTGACTGTGACATCAGTAACCTAAAAAAACACTTCATGTTTTCAAATACAAACTCTCTCTACTCCCAGGCAGTACCATCTTTAGTGAAGAACCATTTGCCATAGAATAAAATGTGTTTCCTGAAATATAATATGATCTTTAGTCTGTGAAGCTCTGGCTTACAACATCAACTAACTTTATAGGGATTAAAATTCTCATACCACAGTGATGTTAAAAATTTTTCCCCTAAAGGATGGGTCTCTAAATAGTATCTCTGAAATGGAGTGCTTCACTCCATTCTTCTGCCCCTTCTGCTGCAGGTCGTATAGATAATTAAAAGCAGGCACCAAGAGCTTTGGAGATCCAGATCTGGTTCAGATCTTGACCACCTGGCTACTTACTTGCTCTCAGCCTTTGACAGATTATTGAATCTCTGAAAGTCTTAGTTTTCTCACTACTTCCTGCCCCCACAACGGGAACTACATTGCTCATCTTGTGGAGCTGAATGTAGAAAACATGATGTAATGCCTGACCTGCAGTAAGCTCAATAGGTTCATTTATTATATATAATTATTAGGTGTTACCCAAGGGTTAGAAATTAATTGAGAAAACAGTAAGAGTCTTTTCTTACTTGGACAAATTACTTGGAATATTGGGAATGGGGGCTGAGAGTTGGGAAAATAAAAGCATGAGATTATGATCTCTGCATCTTAGTGTATTCCTGTCCTCGCCATGACATGTCTGTGGTACTTGGGCAAATACATATTTAGCACATACATGTAGTTGATGGACTGCCCAGGACAGTCATATAAAAAAAATCTATACTGTTTTTTAAGCCTAAGCCTCTGTGCTTATGGGTGTAATAATTGTTTAGAACAGGGTTTTTCACCTTCAGCACATCTGGAGGGTGGGCTGGAAACTTATTTGCCATGGGGGCCTGTCTTGTGCATTGTAGGATGTCAATAACAATCCTCCTCTGGTTATCACAACCCCCAAATGTCTGCAGATGTCATCAAACATCCCCTGGGGTGGTCATAATACCCCTGACTGAGAGCAACTAATGTGAATCAAAGGAGGGAGAGACCTATAATCTTTAAAAAAAAAAAGATTTTTAAAAATCTTTGAAGGTTTACCACTCCTCTCAAATAATTTCTCTGTGTTCTTCCAGTAACTCTTATTTCTCTCTGTTGACATGGTCAGGAAATAATACATTTTTGTTCATCCATTCTTGTTCATCTTGTTTAACAGAATAAAAGCAAGGATTAATTCCTAATTTTTAAAGAACTAGAATGCCTCGAAATACATCAGATACTAATATCGTGATAAACGCTGGTTAATATTTCTCTGTGTTAATTCACTTTCAGTTCTGTTTGTGTTTCCTGTCCATTCTGACCATCCGTTATGACTGTGAGTGCACGTATGTGGGCTTAGCTGAGGTCATGGTTGATGGTCTCAGAGTCGGACAGTTTTTAATGTGAGCCATCCAGTCCCAGCATCCTCCTTTATCATAGAAGGGGGTCTGGGCAGCAGAGAGTTAAGTAGCTGTATACCCACGGTCCTGTAACTACCTGAGGGGCTAACGCAGAACCCTGGTCAGTTATTTAAGAAAGTGCTTTTGTTCTTCTGCCTCGTTTAACCCAGTTAAAAAATGGGTCAAGAGGAATGCTCTGGGCACTGATTTTTAATGGCCTCTGATAGTAGACTAGTACAAAGAATGACGCAGGATTCCTATAAAATGCCCAGTAGCAAGGTCTGGGAAATGAAGTACATTTCAATAACATAATCTGAAGGAGACAAATAGATGTGAGTCTGTGTTTCTTCTACCTGTAAATGGCACATCCAGTAGAACCTGGTGGGGTTTCAAGTCTTGTGTGTATTTCTAACCAATACAACAAACATATGTGTCAACCAAACACTTCCTAAATGAAGGATGTTGCTGACATTTATTTCCACATCCTTACTCTCAGTAACAGCTTTAGTAAAGATTTTAACTGAATTGACCTGGATTTTTCTTCTTGGAAGTTAACCTACTGAGTATTCTTTTGGAGTCATTTATATTGCCTCTTCATGAGGCTCTGTTTTCTCATATATAGATGTCTGTCACTTTTTGTTTTGAAAGTATTAATGCACCATCATACACACATAGAAATATTAAGAGATATTTATGGTGCATAGGTGCTTCTTATATTCTTTTTAGTACTTTTATGCACATTTGATGTATTTTATAATGAAAGTTACTACATACAAACATTATTCTTCATAGAAATTATACATTGATAGTCATGGAGAGAATGGCTAAAAGTTTGTGTTTGTGTGTTTGAAAAATCCTGGAAATCACTGATAATGCTTTATCAGATTTTTGTTTTCTAAGAGTGGGAAAAATGTTCTTATAAATAACCTTCACATTCATTAACATGTATTCCTCAGTAACATTCATTATCAGAAAAGATGAACAAGGTTAAATATTTCAAGAAGAATTTATTCATTCTCTCCAGTTCAGAGAAGATTGATCTGAAAACTCTGAATTAGAAAAGAGGTTTTTTATTAATAAAAAGTGGTGTAATGTTTTCAGTGGGGATAAGAGAAACTGGGACAAGAGAACTTGGAACTGCTTTAAGAGATGGATAAATATACTTTTTTCTAATTCTTTTTTCTTCTTGTAAGAGATGGATAAATATAAATTTCAACTTGCTTGTTGCTTAATATGTCTTAATAATAGCATAACAGTTGGCTCTTTCATAGAATGCTTAAATGTAGAGTTTATGAAGACCATTCTTACTTTCCATCTCCTACTCCATAGACTTGTCCCATAGACTACATGAATGTAAACGAAGTCAACAAACTGGTACTTCCACAGTTCTACATGTGTCAGCATGAAGAGGTGCCAGGAATGACCTCAATGGGATGACTAACTGTTTCTTAGATGAGTGACACTCTTGTGTCCTTTCGACCCAACACAATCTAGGTAAAGTCAGAGGACGTCTTTGATGAGTGGGTATCCAACCTCCGCCACCACAGAATGTACCGTCAGAATGAAATCGCCATGTTTCCACACGAAGTTAATCATTTTTTCCCAGGATCTACAGTCACAGACTCTGGTCCTGGGGTCATGGACACCATTTCAAGTAGGAAGGTAATGATTTGCCAATCATGAATCTAAAGGAAGTAGGTGGCTTTGTGTGGGAGAGTCTGCTCTTGGGGTCAGTGTCTGAGGAAGGAGAGGTTTACAGGTAGGAGCAGAATGTGTTTGATCTAGGATTTTACTTGTCTGTGTGTCCCCTCAGTCAGAGCGAGGGCCAGAGGAGCATGTATTAATGCTCAGATCATAACTGAAGAAGAGCATGTCCAGAGGGATTTAACATCCCAACTCTCCCTTGATCACTATGACTTTAGTTTGCTTTCTGGCTGTAAAATGCAGGAGATATATTTATAGTCAAACAGAACTACACAATCTTTACCAACACTTGTGTTATCCTTTCATATGGTTATCATTTGGCAGGAGAAGAATTCAAGGGCCTGTAGCATGGTGTGGCCACACGGGAGACAGCTGGAGTTCTCAGGGTCTCTGATGGAGTGCTTTGCTAGAAGCTTCTTTCTCATTATGGGCAGATGGCTTCCATTAGCAACCAACCCACTTTATTATCCTTTACCCTAAAGAGTTCTCACCAGGCTCTGTTTTCATTTATAATGTGCTTTTGTCATCTGTGGAACAGCGTAGCAGTATATCAAAGCAGAATTCGTTTCAAACCGGAAGCAATTTATCATTTTCTTGTGGTGGTGAGACTCGAGTTCCATTATGGTTACAGTCTTCAGAGGACATGGAAAAATGCTCCAAAGGTAGAGTGACTCAAAACCTCTGTTTCTTTCTGTCAAAAACCTCTGCTTTTAGACTTTCCTGATTTCGTTTATACTCCAGGTGAATTTATATTCTCCCTCTAGACTGGTTTATGTTCCCTGTCAGATTTTGCTTATGAAGATCTGCACTCATGATAAACAAAAGACACTCTCTTTTAGAGTTTTATGTCTTCTCTTGGGTATGTGTGCAAGTAGGTTTCCTTTACTGTTCTTTAAGCAGCGATGCCCAATTTCCACATAGACTGCTAAATCACAGAATCCAGGGCTTAAGTGCCAAAAATGATTCTGACGCACATCCAAGAACTTACAAATCACTGTCCAGAGGTGAGTGGGTGAATCAAATGAAGATTGCTCACCAAACAGGTGTTCTCTACCCTGGCTGCACATTAGAATTGTAAGAGAGCTTTTAAAATGCCAGGATACCCATGCTCAGGCCCCTCTCCCAGAGAATCCCTTTAAATTAGTGCAGGTTGGGTCTCTGGCATCACTAGTTTTTCACAATTCCCAAAGGATTCTGGTTAGGAGCCACTCTTGCCATACGGAGTGGTCTCAACCTTAGTTAAGAATCACCTATGGAACTAAAAAGGACGTCAACAGTGAGGCTGGGAGTATTCTAATTTAATTGACCAGGGATGAGACTTTAACATAGGTAATTTTAAGACCCTCACCAGTTGATTTTTAAAATGTAGCTACGATTAAGAACCACTATCAGAGAAAGATGCCTGAAAGCTGCAATTTTCTCTGTTGAATGCAGATAGGATCACATCTGGGGACATAAAATGTTGCCTTCTCAATAACTATGAGCAATAAAAGTATTCTGCATTTATCAACTTATTTAACTCAACTGTCCTGTGAGCTCTGAATATCACTATCCTGTCATGGACTGTAGCCTGCCAGGCTCCTGTCTGTGGGATTTTTCAGGCAAGAATAGTACAGTGAGTTGCCATTTCCTACTCTAGGGGATCTTCCCCACCCAAGTATGAAATCCACATCTCTTGCATCTCCTGCATCGGCAGGTGGATTCTTTAGCACTAGTGCCACCTGGGAAGCCTGTAAGGAAACTGAGACACAGAGAAGTTATGTAATTTGGCCACGATTCAGTTTGTTAAGTACATTCAAACTGAGGCAGCCTGGTTCTCTAGATCTATGCCCTTAACCACAAGTCTACTGCCTCTCCTATAAAAACGGCAGTAAAATTTCCTGTCTTTACAGATGTAAAAGCCAATATAGATAAATGAGAAAAATAGCTGGCACTAGTACAGGGAAAGTTGAATGCAAGACAGGTGGCTCTTACTTCTCCCCTTGTTTTCCTCCGGCAGACCTGGCGCACTGTCACAGCTGCCTGGTGGAGATGAGCCAGCTCCTACAAAGTATGGACATCCTGCATCGGACATACTCGGCACCCGCTATCAATGCCATCCAGGTCAGCCAGCGCTCATTTCTGTTTGCCTGCTGGCACTCTGAGGCTTTCCTCTCTCCTCCCAGCCTTTCACTAACAGGGAAGTTTTCTGGCTGGTTGCTTCAGCCAAGTTCAAGGGGATGGAGTTGGTCACTCTGGTGTGTGTCTTTCCCTGTTGGTTTGGTGCATCTTACTGTCTGTGCTCTCTTTCCTGTTTTAAAACAAAGGGTGGAGCTTTTGAAAGTCCCAAAAAGGAAAAAAGATCACACAGGAGGTGGCGGTCCAGAGCTCTTGGCAAAGACGCTAAAGGAACGCTGCAGGTAACCCTTGCTTCGCCCTACAGGCTGGTTTCCTCAGGGACACGTGCTGGGGGCCCATAGAAAAGTGACTATGCTGTAGTTACTCTTGGATACCCTGTGCACAGACAGGAATTCAATCACTTGGGTTTTCTGAGTACTAAAATAAGTGTGTCATGTTTATTGAGTAAAGGAAAAATGGGGTGCAGTTGGAGGGACTGCAGTCATTTCTTGGGTTTTGGTTTCCCCTTCTTCACTGCCTAGCCTGCCTGCTCTTGTCCCCACTGGGTGTGCACCTTGACTTGTGGCTGCTGTGGTTGTGTGGTCTGTCCATGTTTTCTGTGGCTCAGTGGACTCGCCATCCCTCCGAGCCCACTGGCTGGAGTCTTTGGGAGCAGGACATTGTATAGACTATCTCTTCTCTCCAACCGTCCCATCCTCCCATCATAAGTTCACTGCATAACACTAACTGCTGACTTTCCCACTGCACAGCTAAGCCAAGATTTGCAGCTCAGTAATTATACATTAAATTGCAGCATTATTAGGGTCAAAATAAATCAGGAACTTACGGAAACTGTTATACTCTTATGTAACTCTGGCTTAAAGCACTGTATGGGTTGAATTGAAATACTTTCAAAGCAAAGAGAGATTTGTTTTCCAAACCACTGAGAAGGTAATTTGTTTGGTAGAAGCACCAGGTGCTAATAAAGAAAACATTTTTAAACCTACTCCCCATTAACTATTAATATTAGCAACTTAGATCCTGGGTAATTATTGCAAGGAGGAAGGAACTGAATATAAATGAGAAAGAGCCTGGCCACTTTAGCTGTCATTTTAAACCTGTAGCTTTAAAGTTATGATCATCTCCAATTAAAAATGTGATTTCTCACCCACTTTTATTTCATAAGAAGCCAGTGGAAGTTGCCATGGCAAGTGTTTTCCTGAGTTTTCATATTGAAAGTTATCACTCAATAAAAAAAATGTTCTATAGAATGTTCTTCTTTTCTACTTTCCAATCTTAGAAACAAGTGAATAGTCTAAGCAATTCACATCTGAAAAGAAATATCTCCCTTTGGTGTCACTTCAGGTACCTAAGCCTTTTTCTGGCCCAGTAAGACTGCATTCCTCCAATCCTAATTTGTCTACACTAGATTTTGGAGAAGAGAAAAATTATTCTGATGGCTCTGAAACCTCATCAGAGTTTTCTAAAATGCAAGAGGATCTGTGTCATATTGCCCATAAAGGTAAATGAGTTTTCTTTCTTTTTTGTGTTCCTTCCTTCCAATGTGTTTGATGAAAATATTATGTGCTTGTCTGAATGTGGGAAAGTCCTTGGAGAAGGGACTCTTAGCGGGTTCATTTTCTGTTCTATTAGGATTTCAGGCAACCTAATTTTTATTTTTTGTTTATTTTATTGGTAATAGGGAGTGTATTGGCAAAAGTCTCTCTTTAATTTGTAGGGGAGAAGGTGAGAGTCTTAGGTATACTTTAAAAGGCTGAGCAATTTATATGAGAGTGATGAGAGTGTAAATTGGTACTTTTCTGGAGACCAATGTGATATCATGTTTCAACTTAAAAAAAAAAAAATCTATCTATTCAGCAGTTCTACTTTCAAGAATTCATTCACAGGAATTAACTTAAAAGTTATCCAAAGACATGTGCTTCTATGCTGGCTCAGTGGTAAAGAATCCACCTGCCAATGCAGGAGACACAGGTTTGATCCCTAGTCTGGGAAGACCTCACATGCTACAGAGCAACTAAGCCCATGCACCACAACTATTGAGCCTGTGCTCTAGAGCCCAGGAACTGCAACTGTTGAGCCCACGTGCCACAACAACTGAAGCCGGAGCGCCCTTGAGCCTATGCTCTGCAACAAGAGAAGCCACTCTGGTGAGAAGCCTGTGCACTGCAGTGAAGAGTAGCCCATGCTCATCGCAAATACAGAAAAGCCCATATAGCAATGAAGACCCAGCACAGCCAAAAATAAATAAATTAAATTAAATTTTAAAATATTATCCAGCGATGTCCATTGTAGCATTGTTCATATCAAAAATTAGATTTTTAATATCATTTGTTGTTTAGTTGCTAAGTCGTGTCCAACTTTTTTGTGACCCCCATGGTCTGTAGCCCACCAGGTTTCTCTGTGGAATTTCCCAGGCAAGAATACTAGAGCAGGTTACCATTTCCTTCTTCAGGGAATCTTCCCTACCCAGAGATTGAACCCATGTCTCCTGCATTTGACAGATTCTTTACCACTGAGCCATCAGGGAAGCCCTTCAATATCATTAAGAAAATGCAAATCAAAATCATGATGAGACATTATTATGCACCATTAGAATAGCTAAAATTTAAAAAAAGTACAGACAGCTGATGAGGATACAGAGAAACTGATCTCTCATACATTGCTAGTGACAATGCAAGATGGTATAGCCACTCTGGACAATAGTTTGGCAGTTTTCTGTAAAACCAACATGCACTTAAAATACAACCCAATGTTTACATTCCTAGGCATTTATCCCAAAGAAATGTAAACTTAAATCCACACAAAATCCTGTACACAAATGTTCACAGCAGATTTATTAGCCAAAGACTGGAACAACCCAAATATCCTTCAGCAGATGAATGGTTAAACAAAAGGTGGTACATCCATACAACAGAACACTATTCATCACTGCTGCTGCTAAGTCACTTCAGTCGTGTCCAACCCTGTGCGACCCCATAGACAGCAGCCCACCAGGCTCCCCTGTCCCTGGGATTCTCAAGGCAAGAACACGAGTGGGTTGCCATTTCCTTCTCCAATGCATGAAAGTGAAAAGTGAAAGTGAAGTCGCTCAGTCATGTCTGACTCTTAGCGACCCAATGGACTGCAGCCCACCAGGCTCCTCCGTCCATGGGATTTTCCAGGCAAGAGTGCTACTCAGCAATAAAAAGGAATCATCTGTGGATACGGGCCACTGTGGAAGGGTTCTCAAGCACAACATGCTGACCTAAAATACCCAGTCTCAAAAGGTGTCATAGTATGTGCTTACACTTATTAACACTTCTGAAGTGATCCATGTGTAGAAATGGAAAAGTGACTGGTGGTTATGGGAGTCAGGGACAAGGAAGAGAAAAAGAGGGAAAGTATGATTATGAAGGCTGGTAGTAAGAGGAATCTTGGTGGTGATGGAAAGCTCTCTATCCTGATTTTGGTGGTGGGTCCGTGAATCTACACATATGATAAAATTGCATTGACTGATACTTATATCCATGTTCATGAGCGAGAGCCTGTCAAACTTGTGAAATCAGAATCAGAGCTGTAGGTTATACCATCGTCCATTTCGTGGCTTAGATGTTGTACCAAAGTTACGTAAGATGTTACCACTGTGGGAATGGGAGGTAGGGCACCCAGGACTTCTCTGTATTGTTGTTGCAATTTCCTGTGAAATTTCAGAATAGAAAGTTTTTTTTTTTTAATTAGAAATAGCCTAAATGCCTGACAATAGAGAGATTAGATTTTTAAACAGCAGTGTAATCATATAATAGAATACTTAACAGCTACAATAATAATAACATCATCTACCTTATATTGAACACATAGTGTCATGCCGAGTGTTTGCTGGTAAGAACTTAACATGCAGTGTTTCTTGAATTCATACCACAGAGTAGGTATGACTGTAACCTCTTATCAGTGCCCAGATAAGAAATCTGAGACTTAGAGAAGCCAAAGAACTTTGTCAGGGTCCCAGCATAGAAAGTAGCCAGACTGAGACTTGAACCCTAACTTGCCTGACCCCAGAGTCTGTGCTTCTCACCTGCTGTCTCACTGCCCTTACAGACAGAATTAGCCAGGGTTATTTTTATAGGTATTGGAAGATACACACAGTTCACTTCAGTCACTCAGTTGTGTCCGACTCTTTGTGACCCCATGGACTGCAGTAGCAAAAAATACAAGGCATTTTGGGGGAAAAATATATGAATCTGATATATATAGGCATATTAAAAAATCTGAAAGGATATATACCAGTGTTTTAGTGATGGAGACTAGGAGTACTTATTATCTTCTTTCTGCTTTTTAAAAAATTTTTCATATATTATCATTTTTTAAAGGAGAAAATGAGTAAAATGTTGCATGGGAGGACAGTGCTTGAAATAAGAGAAGACATTTCCTGTTTCCTCTTACTGCCCAGAATTTTCCTTCCTTTATATCACTGATTCCTTTCCCTCTTTCCTTACCTTCTAAATCTAAAATGTGTTGCTTATGAGGAAACCGTTTATGCTCTTTACAAATTCCCACCTCAAACTCTTGTCCAAGTGACCATTACAACTTTGTCCATGTTTCGCAGTGCAGCTGTATGATTTATCTATAAAATGGGAAGAATTACCTGCCCCAACCCCTTTAAAGATCTTCATACACCCCACTGTGCGTTCTCTGGACCCCTTGTAATCAGGTTGTCTCATTTTAGGTTGTGTGGGAGGAAATTTGTATACAATGCTGTTACTTTTTAATAATATGAACTGTTCTTTTATTTTTTTTTTCATTTAATTTTATTAGTTGGAGGCTAATTACTTTACAATATTGTAGTGGTTTTGTCATACATTGACATGAATCAGCCATGGATTTACATGGATTCCCCATCCCGATCCCCCCTCCCACCTCCCTCTCCACCCGATTCCTCTGGATCTTCCCAGTGCACCAGGCCCGAGCACTTGTCTCATTGAACTATCCTTTTAAAAATGAGAAGATAATGCCTCTCTGCAGAAGAGAACTGGCCTACTTTTAGCTACCTTGAAGAAGCTGCTTCCTCAGCAGGACAGCGGGTTGCTGTACTGAGTGGATACACTGGCCCCATCCTCCGACTCGTGGGCCTGACCTCACGCAAGGTCATGGGCATCAGCTAGCTGCTCTGTCTTTCCGGCTTTGTGAAAAGCAGCTGGCTGCTGGATTTGTGCTCTGAGAAAAGGTCCAGGAGCACCTATTCAACTTCAGCCTGAGCCCCACGGGCTTGCAGATAGCAAATTCTACAAGCAGCCCAGCAAGCGTGGTTTCATTCCTGTGGTTATAGTGTTCTTGCCCAGACTGGAAGATCTCAAGAGAGTTGCATTTACACAGGTTCTAACTCAGAGGCTTCACAAAGTGAAGACAGTTCCCAGATTCCCTCTGTGTCCTGTGACCTTGCTTTCTTTCTCACTTCCATTCATACTTTTGAAACATCTTGACCTTTCTTCCTTTGTAAGCCTGATTTTGTTACTTTCAATTTTTATTGTACTTTCTTAACTGCATCACTAATCTATTGACTGTGATTTCGGAACAGCTGAACTCAAGGCAAGAATTCCACTGGTGTTGTAAATTGTATTACCTACTTTTTCTTCAACGTGTTAAATGCATCTGAATTCTCCCTGTTTCATAGAAGTTGGATCAGGTGGTAGAAAATCAATATACACCCATCCCAAAAAGTGTTTGTTGTATATTGTAGACTATACGTTTGATTTTATGGTGTGTCATTGGTTCATGTGTCTGGCTTTGTGTCTGTGTTCACACACACACAAGCAAACAGAGAATAAAATGTATTAAAATCTAAAAGTGATAAATAATTTGCCTTACAAATATTAGCTTGTGTGTGTGTATGTGTGTGTATATGCACACTCAGTTGTGTCTGACTCTTTGTGATTCCATGGACTACCCCACCAGGCTTTTCTGTCCTTGGAATTTTACATAAACCAAAATGTATTTCATGGAGCACGTTGCCCATAAAACACTTTAAAAAACAAAATTCCGTGGTTTAAAATGTTTGCAAAACATTGCTGACTATAATTTGCTTTGCATTTATACCAGAAACAATAAATATTAAAGACCCTGAGAAGTCCTGCAGCAGAGAAATCTGTTAGCTTTGTTCAACTTAATGATTTAAAGATTTTCAATGTTATCATGGGAATTCTCCCTCCTCCCCGAACTACTATCAGCTATTGCCAGTCTGGAACTAAACTTCCTGAGAAACATACATCAGCAAACAATGCAAATAGTAAGCCTCTTTGGAGCTAACCCTCTATACCAGCTAAGTCAGAAAACTTGCATTAGACTAAGCCACCTCTGTTACTGACTAGCTGTGGGACTTTCACCTCACTGATTAACCTCTCTAGGTCTCAGTTGCCTCATCTGTTAAATGTCCTGAAATAGTCATCCTGACTCTTCGGGCTCTCAAAAATTCTATAATTGTCTTCTATGAATAATTGTTTTTCACTGAATGGAAATTATTCTTACTAT